TTCGATTCGTTGGACAGGACTGTTCTCTGGGATTGTCTATTGAAGAAGGGTGTGCCTGAGAAGTTTATTAACATCCTAAAAGCCCTGTATAAAAACACCTCAGGCAGAGTGAGGGCATACAACCACCTCTCTCCATTGTTCCATTCGAGCAGTGGGGTTAGGCAGGGTTGCCCAATCTCACCATTCCTCTTCAACTTTGCCATCGATGACATTCTGGAAACAGCTCTGATGAATGTAAGTAATGGTGGTGTGGATCTGTTGCCTGGAGAAAGACTTCTCGACCTTGAGTAGCGGACGATATTGTCTTACTGTGCGATAATGCCCAAGGCATGCAATCCGCACTTAATCAGTTGGCAATCAGTGTCCGTAGGTATGGTATGTGCTTTGCACCTTCGAAATGCAAAGTACTTCTACAAGACTGGCAGGATTCTAATCCTGTATTCACCCTGGACGGTGAGCAGATAGACGTAGTTGAGAAGTTCGTGTATCTGGGTAGCTGCATAAGTGCTGGTGGGGGTGTGAGTGATGAGATTAATGCACGAATAGTGAAAGCCAGAGCGGCTTATGCCAATCTGGGCCACCTTTGGCGCCTTCGTGATGTTAGTCTGGCTGTAAAAGGCCGGATCTACAACGCATCGGTGAGAGCAGTTTTGCTCTATGCTTATGAAACCTGGCCTCTCCGAGTTGAGGACGTTAGACGACTCTCTGTGTTCGATCATCGTTGTCTCCGAAGGATTGCTGACATTCAGTGGCAACACTATGTCAGTAATGCAGAGGTTCGGCATCGTGTGTTCGGGCACAGAGATGATAATTCAATTGGTGTCACCATCTTGAAACACCGACTTCGGTGGCTTGGACATGTTCTCCGAATGTCGCCCCAGAGAATTCCACGTCGTGCATTATTTGCCGACTCTAGGACTGGTTGGAAGAAGCGGAGAGGTGGTCAGTGCATGACATGGTGTCGTGGCATGAAAGAAAGCTGCAGAGGACTGGCTTGTGTTGGTCCTTCACGACTCCCTGGTTGGGGTCCGAGAGATGGTGCTACACAGTGGCTAGAGACGTTATCAGATATGGCTCAGAACAGAAGCCAGTGGCGATCCTGCTGTAACCTTCTTTTACTTTCTTCATAAAAAGTGGTTGTGTCTCCTTTACCTGAAAGATTTCTTCTGATTGTACCTTTTCGTTCCGTCGTTACTACCACACTACCTTACTCCAATCTCTTCGTCATTGTTCTCTTTTTCTTTTGCGTTCCTTAGTTTTTTTTTCTTTTCTCTTTCTACTTCTCTTCGAATTCCCATTGTTTTGTGTGGCGCATATATATTGGCGCTCTCTTGTACCAATATTTATGTGTTCAAATAAATAATAATAATAATAACCATTCATCGTCCAACCATGTGTTACAATGTTGAATTGCTTCGGTCAGTGGAATGAATTGTATATTTTAGTCCGCAGTTTTAATGTAGTCTTGATGAATAAAGTATCGAAAATGTCAGTAGCAAATAGCCTGTTTCCACAGATCTTACATTTTTTAACTATAAATACGTTTACTTATTCTTAAAATATTTGATTAATCAACATTTCTCTCAACTATTTATACTTAGATAAGGATGAAGAAAATCCGTCCAGCTACTCGTCTCGGATTTTCAGTTGATAAACCTTTGACAATGAACAAATATGATATGTCTCTTTTCTCAGAGAAGTTCAGATAACAAGGAATTCTTTATCATCTTGTGTCTACTTTGTATGTATAGTCGCTAAAATGATTTTTGAAAAATCTTCTGTTTGCAACTGTTGTTTGGAACTTGAATTGTTTAGTAAATAAATATTTTATTTTAAGGTTAGGTAATATTGCCAATGTTGTTGTGCAACCGAAATACTTTTTTTAAAAAGTGTATGTAACCAATGTCTGCTCTACTTTACCTTGTACGGTCTGATCAACATACGGAATTTATGTAACTCATCGTCTACAAATAATTGAAAGAGGAATTTAATAAACAATTAGTCAACAAACTTCAAACCCACTAGAATGAATGTTTTAACTACATACATCAAGACAAATATTCCGTCCTTATCTCAATTGCATAATATTTAAAGTGTATTTTGGATTATGATTTTAGCCATTACGTTTTCTGTCCAACAAAACTTTGAGTAAAATTCTATTGATAATTATTCTTTGTTTGGACATCATTCATTACACAAACGTTTTATTAGAATCTGTTAAGAATGGAGTTTAAAACCCTAGATGGGAGCACATTTAATTTTCCTTCAAACCACATTACTAATAATAGATGCTTAGGCCCTGATAAGTTGTAGTGTATAAAATGTTATTGGTTATTAAGTGTGGACAAATAGGCATTCTATTTACTGACTATAGAATATGTGATGTCCTTTCCTCTAATAATTGATTTCGACTCCGGACTCAATGAAAGTGACTATTTGTGATTATGTAGAATAAAGCATTGTCTAGCGTTACTCTGCTTTTCCCTTTTTGATCCTGAATCAGGTATCTGATATAATTTTATATAGTCGTATAGTGTATCGTTCGAGTATCCAATCTAGCAGTATTGTAAACCCGGTCCAGCCTTATTACCATATTATCGTAGTACACTACTGAGCGAAAAATATTTACATTCAATCTGTTAAATCAGGGCCATATGAAATAGTTAAATAGTCACGCAGATTTTATTGTTTTCTTATTGGTGTTGATAGCCAGCGAGTTGAGCTTATTCTTTTCGGTTAATAATAAAACTGTAAAAATCAGTAATAAGACTTTCTGAAAACTATGCTATGGTTATGTGATTGAAGTGACTTCTCGTGCAATTTTGACAAATTCACGAGACATGTTCTCTTAGACCAACAGTTCGTGCTCACTTTTTGTTGCGCACATGGCGATATCTCATTCAAACATAGTGCATCCAATGTCTGGTCAATCAAACTAATCGTCACACGACAACTTGATTGATAAAATTAATTAGGACTAAGAACTGAGCCAATATGATATTGTTTAAGATTTCAATTCACCAATACAGTTTTAATCAGCATTCTCATTAACGATGAAATTAGAATATAATCTGTTCAGGGTTGTATTCATCTTCAAATTCTTGAGAGTGATTGTACATCAGACTACAAATTCAAATCAACTAAGCTCGAAATTGCTCCTTTATTTAAGCAATGACAAGCTAAATTTTATTTTCCTATTACTGAGAGAATTGTCCTTCATACCCAGTAATGGATCGAAATCCGTAATTCAATCAAAAATGCAAAATTTTTCATCCCATGTTCACTTTATCAGTAAATTTCTGAGAATCTGTAAAATTTGTCACAATCTGTGCGCAAGACTAATTCACTACCATTGCATGTACTATGTATTTCGAAAATTTCCTCTCTTCTGCCATTGTCTTGGAGATGCTTACACCAATGTCTATTATCGTAGTTTACTTGGGAGATTATAATAGCACTAAATGTCCAAGCACTCTAATAAATGAACCTACTCAAAAATGGCCTTTCTTAAGTCTTTACTTCCTTAAAAGCATATGTGACAAATCGTTCATATTATACCCTATTGACTACAAACATTACTCTAATTATACTGTTTGCTACATTATTGTAAGAATGTATACAGAATAGCAGTTTAGTTTAGAAAATCTTCACTAAGAAACGATTGATAAAATAGATGTAAAAGGTAGTTTATTACTGTGACTTTTTCTCTTCTTACTCTTTGTTTTCATTTTCTTCAATTTTGGAAGCTAACATGAACTTTGTGACTTGACTGAAGCCATCTAACGTTACAATACGTACTTTCTTGACCCTCACAAAGATGGCATCAGGTAATAATGAACACGGAATTGTCGTAAAACACCAAGTTATATTCTATTAAATAAACTATTTAGTGTAACTTCCATAACAAAAGTATGGCATCTATCGTTCTGAAACGCAGTACACTGTATTTGTGCTACTTCTCTACACAGGTTTTTCATACACTATTTATTAAGAATAACTCCACGGTTAAAATATTTATAGTTATTACGTCATTTATTCCGAAAATAATGTTGTACTTTAACATGATGTCACTTCTGACCAAAGATGTTTCTCATGATAACAAAGGAGGTCCAAGTGGAATTCCCATTTAAATATCAGCTGATAGTTTACTAAATAAACTAATTTTAAAAGATTACTGGAAAAAAATAAACTGGAGATAACATTTACAAGTTCATTTTATAAATCAGAAAAAGCCATGCGAAAACAAAAATCATCAAGGATGAATAGTTAACTAAAAAAAGTAACTGACGGTTAAACGCAACACCTAATCATTCTACATTTTAAAATTAACTTACTAAGCAACCTGCATATCTTAAAGATATCCATATCCTATGAAGTTGGTTGTACGGTGGCAGCAGTACGATGAGAGTTCAAAATTAGTTGTGTTGTTACAAGCAATACTGGAAATCATAATAATCGAGGTAGAGAATGCATGTTGAGTCACGTAAATTAATAAAATTTCACCACTGCTAAATAAATAGACATCACATTGTAATGCAGTTTGCAGTGGTTTGAATTATTCCATTGTTGATGTTCCTAACTGAAATTTTGGTCAGTATCAGTTAGTCTGTGCACATTCTATAACGAGTCAGAAATTGGACGAAATGCGCGTCTTACATTCAATTGCTAGTTATATTCCATCTCTTATAGAATGCATTACACTGATTACTGCTAAGTGATCAATCAGTAAAGAAAACAGGGGTTCTTATTAAATCAACCAATAAGATATCTTTCATAAAAGTACGATATTTTCAGGGGCTTGGAGTGGATAAATTTTACTTAGTAAGTGGAATTTCACTTTTGTGTATCCATAAGAAACAATTAATAATCACGGTTTCCTCCCGCAACGATAACGTACCAATCACGTTCGAATACTTTCTCTCATTAATCTATTGTGGTAGTGGATGCTTTCACACGAATATAGGCTATTTGAACACGGTGACGAATTACAATTTTAGGAATTCAATAAGATAGGTTATTTATTAAATCAACGTATAAGATTTACAAGAAAAAACAGTAGTTTATACCAACAAATTAAAATATTAAGAAAAATACATAGGAGGAAATTATTGAATTTGAAGTCATTGAGTGATGTTTATCAAAGAAATTGTGACAATATCAGATTGAATTCTTAGAGTTTGTTTTCTATCTCCATATTTACAATTCGCCTGCTATAACTAAATTTACATATCTCGCGGCTAATGGTGGGTCCCATTCAACACTCTACAATGTATGGAGCAATAAGAAAATTACCAGAACACGAAAACAATTTCATTAAATTGCAACATAAAATGTGTTATATCACTGTTTAAACTTAATAAACGAATGGTAACTTGTTTATTTTTACATAGAAGTCTTAAGTCCCATGCTTGGAGCCTGGACGATAGCCTCAAGCTGAAGACTTTTGAGATGGTGGAGATTTGTAGCTCAGGCGGATGATTTTGATGGAGTTTTGTTCTCTGAGCTGGAAGTTCTCTAAAATCGGTTGTAGGTTCTCACAATCTCTGTTTTCCATTGAGTTTTAGTTTTAGCATCGTCTTTAACTCTTCATTTCTCAATCTCATTTGTTTCTTTAGAACTATATTTCTTGTGCTGAGATTTTTATTGCATTTTGTGTTATTTCCCTTCCTATTCTACTCATCTTGTTAACCTCTGGTCATCTTGCCGTGGCAACGTGTACTGATACAAATCCATCCTCGGTTGTGTATTAACTGTAACTGGCTTACTTATTCTGATGTGAGACTAGTCAGAGTACGCCATGCAATTATTTTTTCCATTATGGTTTCAGATTAATTGAAATGTGAATAAAGTTTTATATTTTTTTGAATGATCAGTTTTTACGATCAAAGTTCAAATAATCATTTTTTATAATCTCTCAACTTGGTGATATAAGGTAATTGGAGGCAGCAATCAGTACTTGTTAAATGTTCTTTTACTATCATTCAATTCATTCATCATCGTATCATTCTACTTGGTGATACTAATTCATTAATTTGTTGCTATTTTTCCTTATATTTAGTCTGTAGCATCTTTCTAACCAGTAACATATTTACTATCAGAATTCCATGAATCGAAGTAGTATATTGTCATAAATATTGCCGTCACATTATTCTAATATTGCACACACCTATCACCAAAATCTTTCGAATAAATATTTTAGAAAACCAAACAATCTGATTAGATATCTGAAATTTGGTTGATTGTAATATACTTTCGAGTTTGATAATAAGAACTAGGGACGTCGTTGGAACGAAGGAATATCTTTATACTATTTTTTAATGTCCTAAATGAACACTTTAAACATCTTTTTTGATGAAAAGCATTTAGGAGACGTTAGGAAATCAAATGAAACAAAATGCAATGAATTTATTTTATTCTTTAAAACGTTTAACTATTGGCCTATTGGTGAAGAAGAACTGAAGTTATAACAATAGCTTGATAATACAATCACAGTTAAATAAGCGAATCAACTGTATGAATGTTAAACAATCGATGAAATAAATATACAAACCTTAGAGAATAGCTGATCAGCTAATAGTTCATCTTTTTGTACACCTTTACCACTTTTTAAGCATAATGCATAAAGAAAACATGCCATTGACATAGCTCGATATTGAAATGTTTGTATGCATTCTGATGTTGTCACAAAATTGTCACAAGTTACCATTCTGTACAAAGACATATTTACAAAATAATCAAATACTAAGTTTGTAAAGATAATGTATGTTTATGAATTACTTAGAATTGGTAAAATATTCAAATGAGTTAAAAGATAATTTTCGTGTATTTCCATCGTAGCAATTCTTATGATATTAAAGTTACTCAAATAATTTTTTTCAGTTCGTGGTAAAGAACAGTGAATAAAGGCATTTGTGTTAGGTAAATAATTGTTCTTTGCGTTTTGACGAAACTCTTGTGAAACAACAACGTGAAATTATATTCGGGTAAATAACAACTGAGTCGGATTATTGGATCACAAATAACATTCAGTTCTCGAATACGAAGTCATCCTTCAGTGTGTTTATTTGTCTACTAATATAACCTATTTTACTGAAAATAGTTTTCATATTATAATCAAGTATGGTATTTGTTGATGATAATCGATTCAAAAGCAATAAATTCTATATCTGATAGTCGTTATATTTCTCTCTTACAGTTATAACTCAGCCATTCCTATTGCTTAGTATTCTTGGACACTAAATCACTCGATAAGTCCCCAAATCAGAACACGGTTGAACAGGAAAGGGATTATATTCCAAATAACAAGGTTAGATGGAAGTTAGAAGCAAGTAAGTAGTGCAATAGGGAAAACGCTAGTGTATTTATAGTTTTTCACATGAGATTTCTAGTGTTCACTAAGTATTGACTAACGCTGATTGTATAAGAATTAGCCAATCAGCGCGCACCAAATCAGTCGTGCATTGAGCATGCTTTAATCCAGTTCATGTCCCGCTAACAATAGTAATAGTAAGAAATTATCCAGAACTTTTCTCCGTCATCAACGAAAATTATTTTTCTGCTAAATATTAGAATGATTTTCATCAAGATTTCATAATGATCATATAAACACAACCAGAAACTACTTAATTGTATTTCTAGTTTGATTGTGTTGATTCTAAGTAGTCTTCACTCATGAAAATCTTCACATTAAAACTAGAAACGTGAGATAGTCTTACACGCGATACCGATGTTCAGCCTGCAGATAAGTATAGCGAATTCGAGTTAGAACTTATTACTTTTGTATCATATCAGTTTTTATAATAAATTAATAAAAGTCAAGAAACTGAGTCGTAATTCATATTATGTCACCAATCGATTGAGATAGTGAATTTCAACTAATCCAATTCAGAAGACTTGATGGATATGTGTTATATTTTAACAAGTGCTTTAGATATTTACTGCTAGATGTGCAGATAATGCATTTAATGAATACGTGTTCTATGGTATAGTATAGTATATTAAATTGGTTTCCCACACTTGAATTCTCGTTCATTACGATTACAGTTCCATCGAATAGTTTCAGTTAATTTAAACAACAAACGAGTACAAGGAAGAAAATCCTTTGTAAATATGTCGTTATAGCCGAATATATGCGTTTACTAAGGAAGAGAATGCTGAAATGGAATACAATACTATGAATTAATAAAATAAGCATTCAATGTACTGAAACACCATTCGTTAGTGAAAGTCCGATGATAAAAACTGCACATTTTAAAAGTATTCATATGTTCCATTGTTGTTAAAAACGAAAGTAATCAATTGTATTGATATTTAGAATATAGATTGGTTTAGATAAAAGTAGGAAGTATCAGTCGAAAACGAAATATTCATCTGTTGTTTGTTGTTTTGCTTCTTTGTTAGCTTCATGTTAGTCTCGTCTCCGATAGACAAAGAATATCCGTCTATATGTAATTAAGAAAGACTAGTATCATTACAGACTTCTTATTACCAAATCAGAACACTCGGTTAGTTATAGACTCATAACACAAACCTATCCAAACAAAATACACAATTAAATTAAAGATTATTATCAGAATGTGTTTTGTGGAGATTTTTAGAAATTTTCACAGATTGAAATCATGAGTCAGTTGAAGCTAGACCACCATTGAAAACCTGGAAGCACTGGACGGCCGTTTCGTCCTGGCATGGGGCTCCTCAGCAGTGCGCATCCACGAACCCGCACCACCCGGGGCTCGAACCCAGGACCTACTGGCTTCGCGCGCGAGCACTTAACCATTAGACCACTGAGCCGGCATCCAACGGTGTTAATGTCTAACTTCAACCAATCCACGAAGTTGCGCTACCGTACACAATTGTCTTCAGTGAGTTCCTATCTCACAACAGACCTGGTTGAACTCCACTGGTAACGACTTCTCACTAGAACTCCAGAAGTGTCTCCTGAAGTCAGTCACTAGTGAGCAGGTGATTATTATTATCAGAATGTGTTTTGTGGAGATTTTTAGAAATTTTCACAGATTGAAATCATGAGTCGTTACCAGTGGAGTTCAACCAGGTCTGTTGTGAGATAGGAACTCACTGAAGACAATGGTGTACGGTAGCGAAACTTCGTGGATTGGTTGAAGTTAGACATTAACACCGTTGGATGCCGGCTCAGTGGTCTAATGGTTAAGTGCTCGCGCGCGAAACCAGTAGGTCCTGGGTTCGAGCCCCGGGTGGTGCGGGTTCGTGGACGCGCACTGCTGAGGAGTCCCATACCAGGACGAAACGGCCGTCCAGTGCTTCCAGGTTTTCAATGGTGGTCTAGCTTCAACTGACTCATGATTTCAATATGTGTAAATTAAAGATTGTTCTTTTAGATTAGATGATACGTGTAATATATTTTGACAATTAAAATTATATATATTACCTGCTAGCCAAGTAACATACATTCGTAAACATTTTCCGTCGATAGTAAAAGTAAATCAAATTTGCTTTAGCATATAAACTGCCTCTGGCTGAAGCTTCAGATAAACAGAATAAAGCATTATCACAATTTTCTTTCACACCTATTCCATATAAATACATTACACCTAATACGGCTAAATAACAAAGGTAAATAAAAAAATAAGAACAGGATAATACATAGTAGATGCTACCCTAAGACATTTTACTTTAATTTTGTTGTGACAAAGTAAAAAAGAAATGAAAATACTTCAAACAAATTATGTAATAAACTTACTCGTATTTGAAACTTATAATTGGGCGGAACATGTGAGAATGTATATACTACATTTCATCACTGAACAAAGTAGTAATCTTGACCTTAAAAAGAGGTTGTGAAATCCGATGTACACAACTCCATGAATACTTTAAGCATTTTTGAGCTGTTTGCCTACTTAGTCGCAATCGTAAGCAAGCACGGTATAATGATTTTCCAACCAACTAACGTGGATTTACGTATGAAAGTAGCGTGTTTAGGAAACCATTTTTCAGGAACGATGAGAAGTCTTATGCAGATATGCAAATATTTGAATGACTCAAAGTTCTAGATTAAGTTTGACTAATAATTTCAGAGCAAGACTAATGGTTCGTACCGATTTTGTGGAGAATTCTGTCAGTTCATTAAAACGTTAAAACAATTAGCTCATACGTATGCATCATAGAGAAAGATTCTGAATACTTTTGTTATTTACATAAATTGAACATTGACAAACCATTGTTCAACGTTCTACTCATTGGGATGCCAAAAATATATTTATTATTAACTTTCAACACAATGCTCAACTTATTTAAAATTATCAATTTCAACCTTGGCATCAATACCCATAGAGTAATGATCGGTTCAGTTTCTAGAGTGGTGCTAAGAACAGTAGGTTTTGCAACACTACATCCAAAGAGGGCTCGCACCAACTGAATCGAACTTCCGTCGGTATTATACGCGATTTGCAGTCAGCATTAGAGTGATTATGCACGTCACCATGTTTAGATGGAGTATATTTCTATATCAATTATTCAGAAAAAAACTTGTTTTACCTGCAATTAGTTTATTAATCAGTTAAAAATCTAAGACGTACGTTATCAACACAGTGTATGGATCATTTTCTATTCATAAGCTAACATATCACTTTACAGGTAGTCGAACTTCAATCAAAGAGACTAAATGACAAAAAGCTTTCTGCAAGACTTGAATTTCTAGATTCAATCAACCATGAGATTGACAATATACAATGCTGATATCTTTAAATAAGATGAGCTATTCTGCTAAGTCCGAGGTTTTAGTTGTTTTCCAATTGATTCCAACTTGCGATTTAAGAAAGTTTGTCTAAAGACTTCCGTATCGTGTGTGAGGCAGTTACCCAACGAAGACAGTAGAAAATGGTCGCGCGAAATCGTAGAACAGTTGAAGTTAGATACTAACATTTTTGGATGTCGGCTCAGAGGTCTATGGGTTAAGCGTTCGTGCGTGAGACCGAAGGTCCTGAGTTCCGCGTGCGGGATTGTGAATACTGACTACTGTGGAGTTACATACTACGACGGAACGGCCATTCAGTGGTTGCAAGTTTTCAATGGTGGTCTAGCATTGATCGATTCATGATCTCAATTAAAACTTTGTAAGTAATTTAATACCAGTAAAATATTTTCATGAAATTTATTGAAAGTTGTTCCTTTACAAGTATTTCAATAAAGTTTCTTTGGCAAACTACCAACTCCCTTTTCATATAATCGCAATGAATATTTCATGTTTTCAGTGTACTTTAATTTCTAATTAAAATTATTTAAAATCAAGCTATGGATTAGTACTTTATTTCCTATACTATATATGTTAAGGTATATGATCCAACAAATAAACGTTGCTAATTGATATATTTTAGTTTGAAAAGATATCCGGTAAGCGTAAGTAATAATCCTATTAGATAAATGAATATACAATGGATTAAAGCTATATTATTATTAATGGCTTTATTCAATATTATATTTCGGTACACTATAGAATTCTTAGCATAAGGTATTTCAACAAGTTTCTTTTACGAAAAACAAAAAAAGACTGAAAGAAATATGAAAAACTGTACAACTTTCCAAATTAGAGACATGTTAAGAATGCAGGCTATTAACTAGGTTAACTCTAACAACCTGTTCGTCACGGACTATATTTGCTAGGTAAGGTATTATAGAACTTTTATACTTTTGCTTGCGTGCATGGATTTTAATGTAATTACGTCTCGTTCTGCCAGAAGATATACAAGGAGAAAGATATGAGTGAAGGGAATGGCTAGTATCTGATAAAATAACACCTTCCAGGAGTTTGCATGACTTTAGATGTCTATCCACAACCATATTAATTATGATCTCGAAAGATTCACCACAGACCTTGCTAACTGCCTTCAGCACTCTCCGCAATACAGCAAAGTCTTTTCTCAAAAACCCGGGAAAGAATAATGAAAAACAGTAAATAATAGTAGGTAATATGCAAGAATTGACAAATTGTAATAGTAAATGACGAGTAATCCCAAGAGCATGCAGTCTCTTTATGTAGTAAGTCAAACGGAAAACTTTCTTCGATAACAATAAAACGTGAGAAGACCAAGAGAGATCAAAGGAAAAGGTGACATCAAAATAATTGACCTTCGACACTGTGTTTATCAAAGAGTCTCCGATGGTACAAGCATTATGGGATCTCAAAATGGTGTTTAGATTCCGTTCATGTCTCATGCTAAAGTTAACAGCTTGACATTTAGACGGATTTAGTATAAGACCATTAACAACAGACCAACAATCAATACGAGACAAAAACTCATTCATTTCTATGTAATGTAAGAGGTAGAGATAGGAATACATACAGTGAGATCATCCACATATTTCACAAAAGTGTTTACTGTGGAAGATGGCAGATCATTCAGAAAAGAAGAGGTGAAAGAACGGCTTTTTGTGGTACACCTTCATTAGTCAGTAGATACTCTGAACACTTTCCTCCAAAAGCCTCTTCAGTTATATTAAGTCAAAGAGGAAAGAGGAAAGTCTTGTAAGGACTGATAAAGTTAGATGTAAAACCTGTGATAATGGAAAGATTGAACCATCGCAGTACACCAGAACACATCTAGATATCCAAACAAATATTCGCTCATGGTACTTATAGTGAACGATCCTTTGTGATTAACATATGATGCGGTCAATCAACCATGGTTTTAACCATTCAAAGATAACGTAATTTACGTGATCTACGATATTCCAGTTATTTTCTTGGTAAAGTGGCAATACATGAACAAATTACTAACCAGAACTTCGGTCACACCTCCATATATTATAAGAAACTCTCAATTTAAATATGCATTAAACTATGGCTTTTTCACAAATGTCATTCAATGAACGGATTCCAAAATTAAAGAGTATAGGTAAATTTATTATATAGCAGGTAATCTAGTTCTATGCCAATAAAGAAAGTTGTCATACGTTTGCCATTCTAAAGGATAGATGGTAAGGAAATTATGCCTATCGAGTAGTTGCAGAATGTTCTACTGAAATAATCGTTTACAACTGTTGGATATGGATCAATTTTACTACCTAACACTTGAGCATGGAATTTAGTCTAATCCTACTTAATAGTAGCACTCGATAATCCTGTTTTAACTCATGAAGTTGGTATTTTAAGTTTTAACTTCAAGCAACTTGTCAAGAAGAACACAGATGTATAATTCAATAATTAAGTCAGACGTCTCAGCTAAATAAATTAATTGATTGATGTTGTAAATGACATATATACTTTAGAGTATTAATAAATTAATATCAACTACTGTAGTGGTGAATGCTACTGATGTCAACAGATATAAGTACTATGTATTACCAATCGGAAATGGAATACCTGGCAGCAGAAGACTGAATTGAAGAGAACAGAAATGCAAACAGAGATTAATTGTAATTACAGAATTGGAGGAATCATGAAGCATCTAAAGGACAACTGATGGAAGATGTGCAAATAATGTATTTGGCGAGAGTATAATTTATGGACGAACCAATCAGATATAAGATAGCAAGTCTTGGATTTTGGCACGAAGTTCATCCATACATTTGGCATTATATATGATGTTAGTATGTGATGAAAACCTTAAGTCTGATTCCTCACCCTAATCATCAACTGTAAATCATAATTCTAATACCTCACACTGGTTTATAACCCTCATTTAGTTGTAGCTAGTAGGTGAACATTCTCAAGGTCACTTTAGCATAGCTCAAAAGTCGTCTATAAATTATGGTCTCGCCATGTATTTAGTGTATGCTTTTCGAATTTACAAAGCACTGTGTAATTTTACATTCAATAATAAATTGATTTGCCTCTCTAAGTCATCATTTACTTTACTGTCAGTTAGATGTGCTTGAATTTGATTTATTGACTAAATAACCAAAAGACTTTTACGATGCAGTATTGGTCACTTCGAGATTTGTTGTTAGTAAATAAAAAATTCTTCATCTCCAATTTTCTGTTCCTTGGGTCGAGTAAATCAGTCTTTGTTTCGTTATACAGTAAGTATTAAGTAACAGTTATATCCACGGTTACAACAAGCAGCAGTATGGGTAAATGTTTTAGGTCTTTGCTCAACTACTTTAAGACAATTTACTGATAATTACTAAAAGCTAAATGATCTTACCTTCTGAATGTTATTTTTTGTACATCTAGTACTATAATAATTTTAACATTTATTTTACGCGACTTATATCGTATGAAAAGTATGACAGTTATGAAGTTCATAACATCATCATTTAGTTTAACTCAATACAAAACTATATAACAATTTTAGTTAGGTGTTAATGTTGTATTCGAAAATTAGATTATGGGTAACTTCCAGGAACTACTTACTTCAACGTGTCAAGAGGTGTTGAGCAGCAAGAAGCATCATCATGAGGAATGTATCTCTATCGAAACCGTGGACAAGATTCAAGAAAAGAAGAACAGAAATTAACAACAGCCGAACAAGAACAGAGAAAGTCAATGCATAAGCTAAATACACAGAATCAAACAAGTAAGTGAAGAATGGCATTAGAGCCGACAAGCAGAAATAAGCGGAAGACTTAGTAGAGACACTAGAAAATGCTGCAAGAGAAGGAA